CTGGATAGGCTGGATCAGTGGGCCAAGGCCACCTCCATGAAAATCAATAAGGCCAAATGCTGGGTCCTGCACTTGGGCCACAACAACCCCCAGCAGCGCTACAGGCTTGGGCAGGAGTGGCTGGAGAGCTGCCAGGCAGAGGGACCTGGGGGTGCTGATGGACAGCCGGCTGAACATGAGCCAGCAGTGTGCCCAGGTGGCCAAGAAGGCCAACAGCATCCTGGCCTGGATCAGCAATGGTGTTGTCAGCAGGAGCAGGGAGGGCATCATGCCCCTGTACTCAGCTTTGGTGAGGTCTCACCTTGAGTACTGTGTCCAGTTTTGGGCCCCTCACTACCAGAGAGACATTGAGGTGCTGGAGAGAGTACAGAGACAGGCTGCCAAGCTGGTAAAGGATTTGGAACATGTGTCATATGAGGAACGGCTGAGGGATCTGGGGCTGTTTAGCCTGAAAAAGACGAAATTGCAGGGAGAACTTATCACTCTACAACTACCTGAAAGGAGGTTGTAGTGAGTCAGGGGTTGGTTTGTTCTCCCTAGTGGGGAGTGATAGGACAAGGTGAAGTGGTGTTAAGTTGCACCAAGGGAGGTTCATGTTGGATATTAGGAAGAATTTCTTTACTGTGAGGGTTGTCAGCAATTGGAACAGGCTGCTCATGTTGATGGTTGAGGCACCATCCCTGGAGGTGTTTAAGAGAAGGGTGGATGTTGTGCTGAGGGACATGGTTTAGTGGTGTTGATAGGGCTGCGACAAAGGTTGGACTCGATGATCTTTCAGGTCTCTTCAACCAAAACTGGTCTATGATTCTGATTCTATGATTCTATGACACTGGTTCTGGCTCTGATTATACAAACAAGGAAAACAGCATGGTTGCTCTAATTGCATCTGGGATGATTCTGCTGGTGTTCTCATACTGCGTTTTTACTGCTTCCAAATTTACCGCCAACAGATCAGGTACCTTGTATCTTGTGGATTCATTTGAATTCTCTGTTTGCTAGCTTCTGTATCTGGAAAGCTCTGCAGCCATGCATTATTTGCAATGACAGGTCCATTCTTGTTACAGTCTTCTACTGAGCTGCTTATTAAAAATATCACAAATTATCAGTGCTTCAATTAGTACCACTATTCATTGCGCATAACTTAGCAATTTTTCCCCGGAACTGTCATATGATGGTAAATGGTTGCACCTTTATTTTTGCAAATACATCCGTCTGTGACTGGAGTATTCACAAAAAATACTAGCTATTGTCCATTTACACAATTTAAAAATCCCATTTCTGAAAAGTTTGTCTTTTAAGGACCACTAGAAATACATATTAAAATGTACCATGTTTTCATCTCTGCTTACTTGAAGGAGGGGGCAAGAAAGGGGGTGCCATTGCTTGGCTTAATCAGAAATCAACCCTATTCTAATTACGAGTACCAAAAAACTGTCAGTAAGATCTCTTGTTATTAACCTAACAATTGACTATTTATCACAGATCTATTATTATGCAGGTGGCCAGTCTTACTCCTATGGAGAATTTAAGGACAGGATAACAGCTGCAACAGGTCCAGGGAATGCCTCAATAACAATCTCCAACATGCAGCCCTCAGACACGGGGTCCTACACCTGCGAAGTTTTCAGCCCCCAGGGTGATGCTGGACAGAGTCAAAAATCTGTGATTGTTAATGTGCTGGGTAAGCATCTTTCCTCTCTGTTGCTGTATTGTAGTCTTCTTCCCCCATTATGAAACACTGAAGTTACGGCTCAAAATGATTAGGACTAGAGGGAGGAAGAGGGCTGTGATAAACAAGGCCCAGGATGCAGATCACTGCTGCACCGATGCAGAGGTTTGTCCAAAGGCAGGCAGAGCCTGGGCTCCCTCTAGCTTCCACGCAACGCAGACCCGGTACCACACCACACCCAGTAAAATCCCATTCTCCCACAAGCAGCCTTCAGATTTGCTTTGTGCTCTCAAAAAGCTACCCGATGTAAGGAGCTGAGTGGGTAGGTGGAATTACCCACCTTTACTATATTTTTTCATGTTGGAAAACAAAGTGATGCCAACTTTGATTAAAATTAAAAGCCATTCCCAGAAACTCTGGAAGCTTAGAATGTATATAGTACAAAGTCTATTCTGGATGGAAGAAAGCAGTAGTTCAACCATGAACAGGGAGCATAGAAAGCATGAAAAGCAGTGGAATGAGATATTTTACTTCCTAATAAGATAAAAATTTGGACTAACTCCATCTAATCATAGAATCATAGAATGGCCTAGGCTGGAAGGGACCTTAGAGATCATCTAGTCCAACCTCCCTGTCACGCGCAGGGACCCCACCTCTCGACTAGACCAGGCAACACATGGGGACTGAACGGGAATCGGTGTTGTCATTGTTGTCAGCACCGCGCTCAAACCACTGAGCTAACCGTCCCCCTAATCATAGCTTTTATATTGAGAAATCATACCTGGTCAGAGTGACAAATCCAAACCGTATCAGAACCAATTTCAACATAATTTGCTTACCTGCCAGGGATAAGAATAAGACTTATTTAAACTCAGTCCTGAAAAAACAATGTACTACTGTTAATTTTCATCAAAAACTCCACAAATAAATAGCAAATCTTGGAGCAGTTGAGTAAGAGATTGTGCTTTTCATATGGAAACCAAGAAAGGTTATTCATTTATGCACACAAAATTGGGCTGTGTTCATTACTGGTATAATTCCACTGACAGTACTCTAAAGAACCATAAGGGCATTTCTATAGGTAGGAAATTAAAAAATAGGTGTGAGTGGAGAGAGAATCTTCTTCTGTGTGCAAGTGAGGAAATGCTACGAGAACATACATAATTTTTAACAGAACTGTAGTTAATTTATTTCCTCCACGACTGCAATATACTGAAGAATCAGGCCTTGATCCTCTCCCTTTATGTGGAAAAGCTCTTGCTGTGTCCAAAATGAAAATGATGCTGATGGCAGAATATTGTATAACAAATAGCGATAGGCCCTTTTTAATTAAAGTAATTAATAGTCTTCATCTCAATACCACCATAATAATATTTAGTGTGCAAATGGAAGAAAATATATTAAAAATGGATCCTGGGCCATGTACACACATTTAATATTCCTCAAATCTTTATGGTAGAGCCTCTGGTCAGATTCATAAACAAGACTGCTCCAGGATGGAAATCTGTGGATGGGGTTCCATTCTTTACTTATAGAATCATAGAATGCATTAGGCTGGAAGGTACCTTTAAAGGTGATCCAGTCCAACCCCCTGCAGTGAGCAGGGACATCTTTAACTAGATCAGGTTGCTCAGAGCTCCATCAAGCCTGACCTTGAATGCCTCCAGGGATGGAGCCTCCATAGTGGACCAGTACCAGAACTCTGAGGTGGATGCCTGAAGCCCCAGGTATATACTCATGATTCGTCTGTTATCATTGTTATTTTACAGTCAAACCATCAAAACCTTTCTGCAAAATAGAAGGAACACCTGAAAAAGGCCATCTAATCTACCTCTTATGCAAATGTGATGAAGGATTGCCACACCCTACCTATCACTGGTACAAGGTAGATGAGAACACCCTCAAGCCTGTGACTGAACAACTCAGTACGTAACTACAGGACTACCAATCTATGTTCAAGATCTGGAATTCCATAGTAGCAGCCCTGTGTATCACATAGGGAAGTTAAAACTTACCCTCCTCTTCTGATGGTCAACGCCACAATATTGTATTTTTACTTACTCAAATTGACTGACAGCTGTCACAAGCACAAGACGTTTCTTCTATTTGTTTTAATAAAAACTGTGTGGCATGCCATTATTTTAAACTGTTAAAACGGGTGAAATGTTTATGCCTTTACATCTCCTTTTCCTCAGAAATTTTAGTGAACCTAGAATAAGTCAATTTGTCATTCAGGTGCTAAGACTTCCATCCTGAAAATCATCAGTACTGTTACATTTTAATTTGTGAAGTTACACTGACAACAATAGTATCAATGTGGGTAAAACTTCAGACAGACTGATTTGCAGACCAGGCACCTACTTCTGTCCTAGTGCACTCCTGCAGAATCCACTGTGGTGATTTTCAATTTAAGTGTATTTTATTTAATGAATATAACCCTCCCCAAATGAATGATCTGAAAATCCTGTTTCTAATCTCTTAATAGCTCTCAGTATTACCAACTAAAGAACACTGTTTGCCTCTACAGTATACAAAGAGTAATCTGCACCTCTCTCTGTCACAGATCCAAACACGGGTATTCTTTACATTGGCAATCTCACCACCTTTGAAACTGGGTATTACCGGTGTGTAGCCAGCAATGTCCTGGGGAACAGCACCTGTGAGCTCGACCTAACTGCAAAGCGTAAGTTTAATGCATGAAAGTAATCACATGTTTGATGTATGACATGCTCAATTTGCAGGAAAATGCTGTAACAAATTTAAAGCCTAGATTTGCTTGAAGCAAGAACAGAATGGGCTTCAGAGAGCTCTGGAGATTTCATCTAGGCATGCCTAGAATTTACACTGACCTAGAGAACTGCTTTAATATCTCCACCTTAATTTCCCAGTGGGAGCAGTTGCTGAACCTGGATCTGACTGTGAAGCCTTTACTGACAATTGACAGACGTGGAGTTTAGAGCAATTTCTTGCAGCCAACTGCAAGTCTCACCTGCAAGCCAACCTCAGTCTCACTGAGGTCTTCTGGTCCAGAACTTAAAACCATCACTGAAATGTGGTAGTAAAATAACTGGGGAAGTCCAGTCATGGAAAAATACCTTATCCTGACTACCCTCAAGCAGTGATCAGCCTCAGCTTGACTGTTCTCAAGCAGTGATCAACCTCATCCCAAAATGGTCACTCAGCGGTTTATAAAATAAAAAATTCAGGTCAGAGCTAGAAGCTGTACTGAGGTTTTTGGGGCTCACAAATGATGAGAGCACATATTTTACATCTCAGCTGAAGTCAGAGCTAACAGCAACCTGAATTTCAGAATTTGTTTGCAAGGACTGACAAGCAAAGGCTTTCAACTATTGGCAGTGCTAACGGACTAATATTTCCCTTTGCCAGGCATAAGCATGGGGTTTGTTGAGGTAGTGAGCTCACTGAAAAGCAAGGAGGCAGCAAAGGTCATAAAAGCACAGTTCTCTCTTTCCTAGAGAATCTTTGGCCTCCCTCCTGGAAATATAGGTGTCAGACACTTATTTTAGTTTTTCTGAATCCAGTGCCTTCTTTCTGCTAAAGGTTCCTCCACTGAATTTCCATGGGATTTTGCTATAATAATACTTCTTAAAAAAATCTTTTTTTCTTTCCAGATTCAGACAACGGTATTATTGCTGGAGCGTTAATTGGAGCGGTTCTGGTAGCTGCTATCATTTGTGTTATCGTCTGGGTGTTAACCAAGAAGGCAAAAAAGAAGACATCAAGTAGTGAGATGCAGTAAGAATTTCTGTTTGCTTCATTTAAAGACAATTATTTCTTATACTTCAATTATTTCCATTGCACTGCTGATAATCAAGAACTAAAGTAAAATGCAGTTACTCTAAATATTTTTGAAGGATATATAATAGAGGTCTTGAGAAAACTTTCATAGTAAAAATATTTGCTTTTGTATGACTTTTGAGCTGTTGCTCTTGTAATAGAAGTCGCCATTACCCTCTTCTCCATGTTTACAGGCAGCTGCCACTTTGAAGTATCAAAAATAGTAAAATAAATGTTTTTTAAACAACACAAAGTGGCAAGTTGGAAAAACAGTTTTTAATATTTAAAAGTTAATGGGGACTGTTAATGGTAGGTGCAAGAAGTAAAAAATTACTGGGATCGTACATTGCTAGATTTAAACACAGAGGGCTCCCTTCAGTGCTATTTGAAATTACAGGGCACATGCTTGGGACACTCTAAAGCATCTCAAATGGCAGGAGACAGAAGGTTTAGGCAACAGAATGAAGCCTAGAATGTCCATTTTGATCCTGCTCTGAAAATGTCTTTTCCTCTGTGCTTTGGTAGCTCATTTTTCCCTAAAATTACCAAGTCTTCAGAACAGGCACAATCTCATATGCTATACAGACTGTATTTAGTCCCATGATGATAAATGCTAAACAAATACATGCAGCTGAGGCCAGAAAAATATAATAT